ACACACAAACATCCTGGGTTCAATCTTAGGAGTGCAGGAAAGAATGCTTCTATAGACAATCTCTACTTTGAAACTCAATGCTTTATTTTTTTCATTCATACTTGTTCAAACTAGCCAAGGTTAATTTCTTGAGTTATGACTAATATAAACTTACATACACATTTTACAGCCTACTTCAAAGAGGAAGTAAAATAACATTAATATTTTAATATGAACTGAACCAAAAAAGACATATTTTGGATATAACTGGGTTAAATAAAACATTTATTTTATTTAGTTCTTTTTCTTTTCTTTTATCTAATGTTACTACTATTCAATTTAAAGTAAGGTACATGGCTCAAACTGTATTTCCATGAGACAGGGATGGTCTAGATAATTTTCATTGGACACTGATATGGTTGGGTTAAATCTACTACTGCATTCATTTTTATGTTTGTAGCATTTCTTCTTCTTTATCTAATTCCCTTCTTTTAGATTTTTTAATTGCACTTTAGCTGGGCTATTACTTATAACTATACTTTTGCTTTTTCAGTCACTGCTCTAGGATTTGAGTTGTGTAGGTTTTTAATGTTATCAACCTATGTTCACAGCATTACACTACCACATATAGAAGGGAGAACCTGACAGTAGTTAGCATGACCTTCCGTTTTGTTTTCTCTTTAATGATTACCAAACATCTGTTTCTTACATGAGTTCCATTAAAACAATATTTTGTTTAGTTCTGTTTTAGTCAATGTTCTTTTAGAGATGAGAACATCCGTAACTCCTTTGCAGACTGACTGTCACTTGATGTCCTTGTGCCTAAAGAACATGCTGCATTTCTTTAGCACCTGTCTGCTGGCAGGGGATTCTATCAGCTTACATGGGCTAGCTAGACAGCTAACTGAGTAAAGGTGCTTGCTGCCAAACCTGGCAACCTGGGTTCAACCCCTGGGACCCACCAGCTGTTCTCTGACTTCGAGTGCACTCTGGAGTGTGTACACATGCACACATTACAAGGAATAAAAAGTAAAAGGCAACGCTTACTTTGAACGGATATCTATTGGTTATAGCATTTATGATAACGTCTGTCATTCCTCTTCAGTATTTAAAATATGTCTTCTGGCTTGTGTGGCTCCTAACAAATCACTCTTTGTCCCTCTGCACTTAATGTGCCTCTTTCTCTCTTGCTGCACTTACTATTTTTCTCTTTAGTACTGGTTTTTGGCTAAAATTATACATCTTAGTATGACATTTCTTCTACTTTGGATATGTTAAATTTCACAGATGTCAGTTCCTAGGCTTCGAGTATAGGACACCTTCCAACACTAGTTTCTTTTTAAAAAAGTTTTTAAAAACCATCACTAGTTTTGTTTTGTTTTTCAAGACAGGGTTTCTCTGTGGCTTTGGAGACTGTCCTGGAACTCACTCTTGTAGACCAGGCTGGTCTTGAACTCAGAGATCCGCCTGCCTCTGCCTCCTGAGTCCTGGGATTAAAGGTGTGCGCCACCACTACCCAGCTAAACCATCACTAGTTTCTTAAGCAGTTTTTAGACATTGCTAATGCCTCCACCTTCCATTCTAGGATCTCAACTGCAAACCCAGGTTGCTTGATAACATCCCAGAATTCACGGGTAGTCTTGCCACCTTTCTTTTCCATGTGGAGATATTGTTGTATCTCCACAACCACATTTTATAAACTACAGAGCAGACCCCTTTATTACACTTCTCTCAGACACACTGCTGTACTCCTTCACGGAATGTATAAAACTGTCTTTTTGTTTTTCTCTTTTAGTATACTAGGCAAGTTGAAAAGGTAAATCTTTTCCCTTTTACAATATCCTGAGCAGAAGCAAAACAAGTTTTATCTCTGTACAGAAACCTAAACTATTTCCATGTATTTCTAAATTTATTTAATGATGTATAAAACAATGCTCAAGGGGCTGGAGAGCTGACTCAGCAGTTAAGAGCGCTGGCTGCTCTTCCAGAGGACCTGGGTTTAATTCTCAGCACTCACAGAATGGCTCACAAGAGTCTCTAACAGTCTCAGGGAATCTAGCGCCCTCTTCTGGTCTCTGTGGGCACTACACATCTATGCAGGTAAAATACCAATAAACATACAAGAGTAAGGTAAAATAAAAAAACAAAACCAAACAACGCTCAGGCTTTCAAAGTAAGAGTATCTAGCCTAAAACAGTCCTCTTCTCAGAATCTTAAAGTTGAGTTTATAAGGCATGGAACTCAATCTCTAGGAATTAGTAATTGCTGGTACTGATATCCATTTGAAAATACTTGCTTTTTCATGCTTACTTCCCATCCACTTTTGTAAGTATGTTTTCAGATTATTAATGACTGATTTCCTGATGCAGTAGAGAATTTTCATCTACAGTCTCAATTTTATCAGTCTTTTATAGCGTCTGGTTTTTACAGGATAGTCAGTTCCCATAGTCTATTTTTGAGAAGTTTGGTTTTCTTATGTTGTAGTAAAAATCTCAAATTAGTTCTTTGAAACTGAACAGAATTTAATAAGTTCATTTATGAAACAGCCACGAAGGTCTATATTTTTCTTTTTAAAAAGAGAACAGGGGCCAAGAGTGGTAGGTAGTTCACACCTAGCACTGTGGAGGCAAGGGCAGGTGGATCTCTGTGAGTTCAAGGCTAGTTTGGTCTACATAGTTCCAGAACAATCAGGGCTATGTAGAGAGACACTGTCTCAGAAAAGATGGGAGATCAGGGAAAAGGTAGTTTAATGGCTTTATATATATCCTAAATACAGGATATTTGCACAATGGCAGACATGAGTGGAGGTCAGAGGACAATTTCTGGGAGTTGGTTCTCTCCTATTATATGGGTCTTGGGGATCAAATGCAGTCATCAGCCTTGGCAGCAAACATCTTTACTTGGTTGGCCATCTAGCTGGCCCTAGGTTTTCTCTTCTTCCCTTCCTTCTTTTCTTTTGGAGAAATGAGGATTTTATTTTCTTTAAAAACTAAATATGATATCTTTCTTTTCCTAGCTTTTATATTTCTTTGTCAATGGTAAGAATAATCTATGGGGCTGAAGAGATGGCTCAGAGGTCCTGAGTTCAATTCCCAGCAACCACTCGGTTTACAACCACCTATAATGAGATCTGGTGCTCTCTTCTGGTGTGCAAGAATACATGCAGGCAAAAGGCTGTATGTATAATAAATGAATAAATTATAAAAAAGAATAATTTATGAGTTATCTTATTTTGCAGAGAATTTTAATATATCCTATAATATTGACAGGACATACAAAACAAAAATGGTTATTTACAAGAGTATTTATTTGAATGAAGAATAGAATTGAAAAATATGAGCTACTTGAAAAAGACTGAATATTCATAATTGAAAAAGAAAAGTATCTTAAAATAAACATCAGAATTTAAGTATATCTAATAGTTCATCAGAATGTTGGCTATTTATATCTAAGAAATGCACTTTAAAACTGGTGCTTCTTAAAATAATTCTTATTATCTTGAAGATATGACTTTATACCTGCTTTCAAAGTTAATTCTCTGAACTCGAAAGAAAAGTATTCCTTCCACCATTACAGGACGGTGTGGTAGGGATACATTGGAGGACTCTCTCCTCTCCCAAACAGATTCTAAATCACATAATTTCCATTAACTTTGTGTGCTCAAAGTCCAGCTTCTCATGGGTCTGGGGAACGGAAACCGTGCCTTGATGAATGCTGCCTCTGTAAGGAACCTCTCTGAGGTAATTGTACAGTGAAAAGGAAGAATTCTGTTTATATCCTACTCACTGCTGCCCCCTAGGTTTTGCATAATTTATAACAAACAGGCTATAATCCTTTGGAATAAGTGACTCTCTTTTCCAGAGGTGGCACAGGAAAAAGAAAAATGGTAAATGATTATAGATGAAAAACAATTTATAAGAGAACACTTGATTATTTTTTATTTTTGTTTTCCTTGTTAATTTGGTGAGCTCTTCTCCACTATAATTTAATCCAGTGCTCTATTACCTGGGAGTAAAAAGATGTGATTGAGGTTTCTAACAGAAACATCAAATCATGTGTTCCTTACCATCGCTAGTCAAAAAACAGTACTAAGGAGTGGTAAGCCTCTGAAATTGTTATCTTATATGTTAACTACTGTCACAGACAATGGAGCATATCAACTGGCCCCAAGTCAATCAATGTCTTGGATATGATATATGGTTTTAAGTTCTACCCATTTAATCCCTAACAGATCCAATTCAAGACCCTGAACATCAGTGCCTGGATTGAGCCCCACTCTGCTATTTACCGTAAGATCTGTGACCCTGGGAGTTTCTTAATCTTCCTGTGCTTTGTCTTTTACATGTCCAACTTGTCATGTGTATACAATAATAATAAATAAAAAATAGGAGTAACTCCTTCTAAAGTGAAACAGGTTTTTAAAGGTTTAGGATGAAGACAGGTCAATTTAAAGATCATACCATAATTAATACATTTACTTGGAACTGGGAGGTGAAGTCATTCTTCCCTCTTGGTTACATATGAACTACATAAAACTAATTTTTTTCAATATCAGCTTTATAAACATCATGAACAAATGAAGGCTACTTCAAAAAGTTTACCATGTGTAATGTAAGTAACCTAAAGCAAGGAGATAAGGCAAAGGAAGTAGACCTGGTTCCTTACTAGAAATCCCAAAGTATTCCCTCTTGCTGCAATAAGGTCAGACATTAAATATTTGCTCAGAAATATGACCTGCAGAGCAGGTGCTTTAGGCAGAGTGAGAATTCCCCTGTATGAGTGACCTTTCCTTCGGTATCCACAAAGCAGACGCAGTCAGGGACACTCAGTCTCTACAGCACACAGAAGCACAGAGCTTGCTGAAGGCTCCTCTTTGTACACACTTGTCTTACAGAGAGGCTTGGGAGAGGGGTTCAGATGCAGTCACCCAAGAGCCACATTTGGAGAAACACTCAGATAATGCCTTTAGTTTTCACTTAATTTTTACCTACTATTTTCATATAAAGTAGGTGCAAGATTACCTCATCATTGAGCCAATTTAGATGGTTTAGAGTTTGAATGTCTTTGCGTGTAATGGTCAAGCGGAATGCTTCACTGAGGACTTCATCTTGGTTACCAGTACGAAACACATTCTTTATTTCTTTCTCCATTTCCTAAAACAAAAGATCAAACATAATGGTTTGGCTTCTCACCAGTCCTCAGACTGTATTTCTCATAATCAACTGCCTGTGAGTTTACTGTTGTCAGTTTGCGTCCATCTAACGTTTCCTTCCTGGTTACTCCTCCCACCCTTCTAGTACACTCCTTTCTTTCTCACACAATGTTCAGATCCTGGTTTCCTTCAGTTCCTGAATATTGAAATAACCTTTGCTCAGATCTTCCAAGCTCTTTAAAAGGCTTCTTTATGTTTTATATTTCTGGTTCAATTGGTTTCAAGAAACAGAAGCTTACATGAAAAGCACCACGGAGTAAAGGTAGCATCTTTTAGATGGATGTCCTTCCCACAGACAGTATTTTTAAAGATAAGATATGGAATGTAGTACAACTATAAAAAGTATGTGATGCTCACTAGTTACATGCCGTTCTTTTCATATTAATGGTGCTGGTAATCAAATCTAGGACATAAGGCCTTGCACATGTGAAGCAAACACTCTACCATCAAGTTGCATCCCATGTCCAAATGTTTTGGAAGAGGGATAGATTAAGGAACACATTTTAAAAACATACATAGACTTCTAAGTATCTTTCAAAATGTTTACAATAATAATTGCTTAACAAGAAATATTATAAAAACAATGTGTGAAAATGTCACAATGAAGCCCATTTTTGTAGGCTAACTTAAAAAAATAAGACAAAACAAAAACACAAAAAGAAATAGTACTTCTCAGCTTACAGCGTGCTATCAAATGACCTCCTATGTGAGCCTGGAAATGAAGCCAGCATATACAAAGTGATGGGTTCAATTCCCATAACTGCAATCAAAACACAACAAAATCTCCCGAGCCAAACCAAGTAACAAGTTATTTTTTGAAATATAAAATGTAAATGCACTACATACTTTTTCACTGAAGCTGCTAAAACCCACCCATAACCATCTAAATAATTTTAATTACCTTTAAAAGTAAACATTGATGCATAATACAAACAAAAGTATAGTTATATAAATACAACTTAAATGTATTAAGTTGGGTACTCTATTGAATTGTTTGGAACTACCCACAGCATCCTTTCTAAACAAAAAGCAATTGTAGATTTTTTTTTCAAGACAGGATTTAACTACGTAGGTCTGGCTGGCCTGGAACATCTATGTAGACCAGGCTGGCCCCAAATGCAGGAATCCACCTGCCTATGCCTCTGGTGTGCTGGCATGTGCCACTACACCCAGATCTACTGTAGGAATTTTCTTTTCTTAAAATTTATTTATTTGTTTGTGTTTTTTTGAGACAGGCTTTCTCTGTGTAACAGCTCTGGTTATCCAGGAACTTGCTTTGTAGAGCAGGTTGGTTTCGAACTTACAGAGATTCAACTGTCTCTCTGCCTCTAGAGTGCTAGTACTAAAGGTGTGTGCCACTGCCACTTTGATAGAATTTTCAGTGTGTACTTTACCTCTGTAATTTCTGGAAATTCGTCTTCACTATTAGTTAACTCGTGACTTTTTTTCCCGGTTTCCTGGGCAACTGTGACAGGAATCTCCTTCTCAAGAGGTACACGAAGGTGCAGCTCTATGGAATCAAGTACTGCATGTTCCTGTTCCTGCAATCTCTGGAGACAGAACTTCAGAATAAGCAGGACAAAGACATCTACCACTTGACTTCAGTGAGGTGAGTCAGTCTGGGACATAAGCCATTTACAATAAATGCTAGGCTACTACATGAGCATGCAGCCATCACTCAAGCACAGCTTGAGTCCCCAGCAGTCCCTCTCTGGATGTGCTACTTATTTTATAATCTTTTTATAAAAAGATTTCATTTATTTTTGCTTTTCATGTGAGTACTTGCCTGCATGTATGCCTATGTATCAAGTGGGAGCCTAGTTTCTGAGCAGGCCAGAAGAGGGTGTTGGATCCCCTGCAGCTCAAGTTACTGATGGTTGTTAACTGCCTTGTGGGAGACTGGAATGGAACCCAGAGTCCCCTGCATGAGCAGCCAGTGCTCTCGGCTGCTGAGCTACCTTTGTGGTCCTTTAATCTTAACACTTCCTGTTTCTTACCTGGTTCTGAAGCTGTAGAGCTAGTGCTTTCTGTTCTTCAATTTGGCGCAATCTTTCCCGGGCTCGAGAATCATAAACACTAGTTCTAGAAAATGGAGAGCAGCAGAGTCAGACCAGTATCTCAGCCTGACCAAGTCTTTGCTGTAGTTAACTGTAGGAAACCAGCAATAAATATAGCTCACCATGCAGACTCCACTCAAGACCTCACCACATTGACGTTTTAAGACACAGTAGAACAATGAGGTTATTTAAACTATTCTATGATGTTTACTGGAGTAATTTAAGTATAGTAGATATGACTTCTATAGGTACTTGTAAATAAATAGTCTTGTTTCAAAAGCATGCCTCTTGAGAAGGCTGGTGAGAGTGAAGCTTAACTCTAGAAATTCAAAACCATAACTGAGCCCCAGAGAAAAGAGTACACTGTCAAAGCTACAGCAAAATAGTATTATTTAAACTTACAAAGATCAAGGGCTGAGGAAAACTGAAAAGGTTTTGGTGCTTGAAACCGAATACTTTCAATTATTTCTCAAACTCCATAACAACTCAACAGTTTAATGACAAAATAAAAACTTTCTTTTCTTTTTATACATAACTAACTCTGGAATATTTTCCAATTCAATTTAGTTTCAGCAATTGTTATATGGTTGACAAATATGAAAACAGAAATCTCTTAACTGGGGCTGGAGAGATGGCTCAGGGGTTAAGAACTACAGAGGACTTCAGTTCAGTTCCCAGTACGCATAGAGGCTTACAAAGTATTTCTAATTCCAGGAGATTCTGCACCCACTTCTGGCCTCTGTGGGCACTGGATGCACAAAATGCACACACATACATGCAGGCAAAACACTCATACAATCAAATAAAAATACAGAAAATCTGAAAAAAAAAAACAAATATTGTAACTTAAGAGAATCTTAAAAACCCAAAACCTGAAGAGTACAAGTAAGTAAGTTTTTTTCTTTTTTAGATTTTCCAGACAAGGTTACTCTGTGTATCCCTGGCTGTCTGGAACTCTCTCTGTAGCAAATAGGTGATTCTTACTGAGCAAAAACAATTAAGGTAATTAGCTATTTGATTTCTTTCTAAATGAAAATGAAATCAGAAGAAAAAAATAATATCAAAAACAATAACTTACAATTCTTTGATCCATAGCTCTGCCTGGAAGAAATTAGGACTATAGATGGGGAAAGAAAATAAACAGGGGTTAAGGGAAATTCAAATATTTTCACCAACAAAAGCAATCATTTAAACAGTTTGTGAAACTACTTTGCAATTATGGAGTAAAAGATCTCCAAATGACACATAGTAACTAACTGAAAATTTAAGGACATGACTATTACACATGTACTGAAAGGATGACCCAACACTCAGTGGGGAATGAAGGAGCCAGCTTGCTTGCGTGAGAGAATGCATATGAAAAAAGGAATAAGCATGCCAAGGCAGACATGTGCAATCAGCTATACTCCAAAGATGTCAGGCAGAGCCGGGCATTGATGGCGCACGTCTTTAATCCCAGCACTCGGGAGGCAGAGACAGGCGAATCTCTGTGAGTTCAAGGCCAGCCTGGTCTACAAGAGCGAGTTCCAAGACAGCCTCCAAAGCCACAGAGAGACCCTGTCTTGAAAAACAAACAAACAAACAAACAACAACAACAACAACAAAAAGATGTCCGGCAGGTCTACTCCAGTCTGCAAGGCTCTTGTGAGCAACCCAAATGAGGAACACTGCGTAGGGTCACAGGAATGCTAACTGTTCCAGTAGCTTTCCCACCCTCTCAACTGCTTTATCTCTTTGCAAACCCCTAACTGAGGGATCTATCATAGAAACAAATGTTAACAGAACAAGCACTTTTCCAAAAGAGACCTTTGAGGTCCATAAAAACAAGTCAATAGAGCATCAAACAGAGTTAAGAGAGTTGGGTCCATTTAGTTCTGTGATTCTGAGCAAGTGACTTCACCTCTATGGACTTCAGCTCCAAGATGTGGTAAGTGTGGTTAAAGTTCTTTTGAGTCCCTAGTCACCCTTAGACTGTGACCTGGCAATGAAAACACTGTTCTGCCTCCCCAGTGTCACTAAGGTTAATGAGAGTTGGTCACCTGTGCAACAATGAATACCCAATATAACAACCAAGACAGAAAGCCTCAGAAATCATCTGTAGAGTTGTGGTTTTAGTGTATGACACAAAAATGAATCAACACGAGAAGATATTTATTACGTGATACAAAGATGTAAAAAGAATGACCCAGGACTTCACATGAACAGGTCATGAATTTGTCTGTACTCCTTATTAAAATATAAATTTGACTGAGAATGGATTTTTTTTTTTTTTTTTTTTTTTTTTTGGCTTTTTCGAGACAGGGTTTCTCTGTGTTGCTTTGGAGGCTGTCCTGGAACTCGCTCTTGTAGACCAGGCTGGTCTCGAACTCACAGAGATCCTCCTGCCTCTGCCTCCCGAGTGCTGGGATTAAAGGCGTGCGCCACCAACGCCCAGCTGAGAATGGATATTTTTGTCTATTTATAAATTACTGTATCTTCTACAACTACAATACTGTCTGGTACAGAGCACATGGGTCTGTTGCTGAATAAATGAATAATATAGGGACAAGAACTTCTCTCCAATGGACTGGGGTATCTGTTGGCTCCTGAAGGACATTTATAAGGGAAACTTCATTACTAAAGAGATTACATAGTATTTCTTAAATAGTTGAGCTACAAGGATATTTGAACACAGTTGTTCTTAGTGCTCCATATGTAAAACTGCTCTATTAGCTTTACATATTGTTAAGCTTCATGAGACTCTCCAGGAGGTTCTCAGGAAAAACATACCCACTATAGGGAAGGCAGAGAATGTAAGGCTTGTGAAGGAGCTCTTTTTTTAGCACACTTAGGCATTACAGCTTAACCCTAAGCTTACTAAGGTATCGTTGAGGTAATTTAGTAACTTAATCATCATTAAACCTCTTTAAGGATCAGATATGAATTCTGAAAGATAACTGTGGTTACAGCATGGGAGGCAGGCCATGAAGAACTTGGTATGGTGGAAGACACAATGAAGACGAGAGTAAGAGTGAAGGAAAAAAAATGGAACAGGAAGTCATTGAAATAATTTGGAAAACATGAAAGAGATTTGAACAGAGACAGTTTTACACTATATGACTTTCAGCTAAGAAACTGTAATCAAGGGAGGGAAAATGGCTGACCCTCCCCCTAGATTTACCTGGAAGCTGGAGTTTGAGATTCTTTCACTTTGAGTAAAATCACAGAGTCTGATCCTAAACGAAGAAACACAAGAACGGCTCATTGTGAGTAGAATCCCACCATTCATCACGTCTTATTTCACTTTAAGCATCTACACTTTGTTATGTCCTGTGCCACAAATGTTACAGGTGGAAAGAGAGGAACAGTTTCACTTTACTGAGACCAGAGACAAGTCTTGAGAGGAGCTTGGCCTCACAAATAAGGAAGTCATTAGAAACACAGGCACATCTGTCCAGCAGCATCGACCCTTCTCCCGTTTTTTTAGGGAACAAGAACATGCTACAGTCTTAAAAGTCTTGAGTTTATGATTTAATATGTACTATATAAGGTGAAGAGAAGGGAATAAAAAAAGGGAAGGAAATAAAAGCCAAGGTAGAATGTACCGGAATAATTGTAAGAGCACAGAATTTATCACTGTATTTTAAATGTTCTTCAAGAGCAGGACTCAGGTCTTTCTGCGTACTGTGATTATACCCTCACTTAGAATATTTATTAAACAATACAAGGACATGACACAATGCCATGTCGAGGGTTTGCTCCAGACTAGTGTTAGCTAGGTATCTACTACTATATGACATGTATTTCTGAGTATGAGAATCTTTTAACTTTAGATTTCTAGAAAAATGAAAAGATAGTTCTCAGTAAATCATTTCATAAAATGTAACACAAGTTTTCATGTATAGTTAAATAGTGATATCACTAAAAATTAACTCCCCAAGTAAGAATTTTCAGAAAGTGATGAATATAGTAGTACTAACAGTAAACCAAATGAACTGAGGAAGGAGGGAAGTGTGTCAAAGAACTCTATCTGACCACTTAATCTAAAATGAGGATAACTACATAACAAGTTGTCACCACCATGCTCAGACTGGATAGTTGGGTTAGCTGAGAGTTAGGTAGAGGATTCTTGTTTCTATAACTGTCAACCACTCTGAAATGCACAAAACTGCTATTGAAATTAGGGATTGCATGATAAATACTTGTTCAACATTTGAAAATTCTCAGAATTTCGGAGAACCTCACTTGCATTGTAGAGTAAGAGAAACAAAGTGAAATCATTTGAGGCAGTTGGGCTCAGTGAGCTTTGACTCTTGGCTTTGCTCAGCAAGTTAAAATAAAATATTCAGCCCAGCAAAGTGGAGCATGCCTGTAACCCCGCTTTCTGGAAGCCAAAGCCATAGGACTGCACAAGTTCAAGGCCAGCCCACTATATAGCAAGTGCCAAGCAGCCAAGAATATATAGTAAGACTCCTTAAAAAAGTAGGTAAAATATTATGCCAAGTCATTTGTATGCAGGAAAAAAGAATACCCTTTAAAAAAAGGAAGAAAGGGAAGAAGGGATGGAGGTGAGGGAGAGAGAAAGGAGAATCTGTGGGTTTGTTTGGTTTCATCACAGCATGGCTAACTGAATCATGTGTTTAATTAAAATCTTATACGTATTATGTTACATATATTAAAAGTGTGCCTGCAACAGACACGATGACTAGTCAACTGACTGTTAGTATTATTTACCTTCAGACTGCGTATTTGATGCTGGCAAGTTATCTGGCTGATGTGGAGTAGAGAGGTGATGGTGAGGCTGATGTGGCGGGTCAGAGTCTCTGGATCCAAATGCAGCATCTGGGGTGCAGGACAACAGGGAACGTGCACTGTGGGACAAGTGCTCCTGTGCAGTTAAAATGCTGGCCGATCCAGAGGATGAAGTATCAGAGCCAATGACATGAGATGCACAAGAGTTTCCATTTCTCAACAGTGAGTCTTTCAAAGAGGTCTTACTGGAACTAAGACACCGAGATCTAGGAGGAGGATGATACAGTTTCAGTATCAAATAGCAAGTTGTAAAGTTAAGTTCACATGAAAGACACTTTTGTGACTCACAGGTGCAAAGGGAAATGTGTGGTGGGCTTGGCTACAGAGAACTGTTTTCCCGTGACCATCTGTAGCAGCTGCCTGTAGATCTCCTTTTCTTCCTCTTGAACTGTCTATAAGGGAGAGAAAAGAAGGCATCTTAAACGTGAGGTCAAGACTTCTCAAATGAGCATGCAGATACTCTCAGGATCTCTGCCAAAGCCCTAGCAGTCCTGAAGATGAAGAAATATTGCACACTGATGACACTCTCAAAGCATGCTGCATAAAAGGAGCTAAGCAGGGTTACATCTCAGAGATAGCTTGTTTTGGAAAATTATGGTGGATATTATAGTGCTGAGTGAGAAGCTATTAAATATGAAAACAGAAAGTCACAAAGCAATTAATCACTCAAATGATAATAAAAGCCAGAAATAAAACATTTAAGACTCCTGAATTAGAACTCCAATCAGTCCCTTGAGTCCTGATACCAATTATAAAAGCCTTGAGGAGGTAAGCGCACAGTCAGGCTTTGTCAGAGGAAGGTATCTTGTATTCCATGCAGGTGCAAGTATTTTCTGAAGATGGAGTCCATCTCCACCATTTAAGTACTTATTTTTCTCTAAGTCTCAATTTAGTATTTAACACAAAACCCACATAACATTTACTCACTGACTTGAACATCTACTATGCTTTAGTCACTTGAGATTTGGCATTGAATAAAGTAAATTTCCAGCTTTATGGAGTTTATATTATAGTTATTACAGGAGCTGTCAATCAAAAACTTGTTCATAGCATGAAGAAAATTAAAGGGCAAGGAAGATACAAACTGATGGAGGGGAAAACAGCAAGGAGGTACAAATCTCTCCTGCATGTATGCCTGCACGCCACAAGAGGGCACTGGATCTCATTATAGATGGCAATGAACCACCATGTGGTTGCTGGGAATTGAATTTAGAAACTCTGGAAGAGCAGACTTCTTAACTTCTGAGCCATCTCTCCATCTTAAGCCCTACAAATGTTTGATAAAAGCAGAATGAAATGGGAGGGAGAGGCAGGCCTAGCTCTGAGTTCGAGGCCAGCCTGGTCTGCAAAGTAAGTTCCAGGACAGCCAGGGCTAAAGAAACCCTGTATTGAAAAACAGAAAAAAAAAATAAATAAATAAAGCAATTAACTACAAAAGTGAACAGACACTAATGTTTCTCTTTCTGACTCACTGTTTCTGCAAAGTAAATTATGATTATGTTGCCATTATAAATTGTGAAGCAGTACAACTCCAACTATCCTGAAATCTAAACAGCTAAGTGATTAAAAAAAAAAAGAAAGAATTAGGTAAGCATGTGGTGGACGAACAGATCCCAAGAGAAAACAGCAGCCTGTGATATTCTCTGCAGGGTGTTGGGGTCCACACAGTTTTACGCCTGCACATTCATATTGTAGCCACAATACTGATGACCTGTCTAGTGTTTCAGATACTGGTTAAGTTCTTCAGAATAAAGAGTTAGAAGTTCCCTCATAAATGACAACAATCAGGGGAACAAAGGAAAGACTATATACCAAGAAGAGAGAACATTAGGGATCATGAAGGGACAGGACAGTTCAACAGCATGGAGAAATATAAAGGAAAACAGGAATTGTAGAGAATCTTACAGTAAGGTTGAGACTGTACACAGCCCTACTGACAACTAGCAGCTCTAGATTCAGGAGTCTTAGTACAGGCTACAGGCTTCCCTGGAAGAAGAAAGGCATTAAATTGTATTCCGTATCTAGACTGCTATGATCAGTACCATTTTTAGGTAGTTAGTTAGAAGGCAGGCTTGAAGGACTTTGGGGCGAGACCCTCCTTGGCAGCCAGCAGCCTGTAAAACCAAGGACTGAGCAGCAGGACTTAATCACCAGCCAGAAAGTACCCCCTGGGTCTTACCTCGGCCCCGAAGGAATGACGATGGAAAATATTCAATGTCTGTTTTCTGCCAACTATTCTTTTCCTTTAATCTTGCTTCCTTCTTTCCCCTCCTGTGCTCCTGTTTTATCCTTTTATTTTATTACTTTTACCTTTACTCATTTTTAAGTTACCAGTATATTCTACATTATTTTTGCCTCCCTTTTCTTTATGTTTGTGGTCTAGTAGTCATCCATAATTTTTTTTAATGTTTGTTTTGCTTCTGTGTTGTTGTCATGGCAATTTGATTTTTTTTACCATTCTGAGTGATAATGAGGATTGAGCCCCCAAGAAAAGGCCACTCCTCCCAGATAAAACCAAAAAGACAGCCATCCAGGCTAAGGATAAAGCTCTTGTCATGCAAGCCTGAGGCTGAGAATTTGGATATCCAGAACCAAGTAAGTGCCTTTGGGAACAGCAGCCAGCCTACAATTCAGTGCTCCCAAGGCGTAGACAGGTACTTCCAGGAGCAAGCTGACTAGCTAGACTAGTTATATGGGGGAGTTCAGGGTTCAACTGAGGGACCCTGTCTCAATATGTAAGGTAGACTGCTATGAAGGAGGACCCCTGACATCAGTTTGGGACCTTTACATGCATGAGCAAGTAAGAGAGAGAGAGAGAAAACGCACGCGCGCGCGCGCACACACACACACACACCCTTCATACAAGTGAACATGCAAACACACATATTCATAGAAAGACATCCTTACAGATGCCCAAATCACAACATAGAAACACAAGATACCAATATGTTGAAGTAAGAGAAAGAATTAAAAGATGTGGTTTAAAAAATGCTGAGTTGCTTAGTTACCATTCTCGTCACCATGACAGAACACTTCTCAAAATAACACCATGGTGGCTAGAATGGTTCACAGTTGTCTGTGGAAAGCATGAAGCAGTCAGTTTTAGCCATCAGGTTAAGTCTGGTCATAACGAGAGCTGAACTATAACCATCTGCTGTGGTGATATATTGTTTATGATCTAATAAAGTCATTGGGGATCAGAATGCCAAGCCAGCCACACTAGCTAGCCATAGAAGCTGGGCAGTGGTCCCACAAACCTTTAATCCCAGAACTCAGGAAACAGAGGCAGATGGAGTCCAAGAGCACCCGGGAGCTACATGACAGTGAATCAGTCTAAAAGAACTCACACCTTTAATCCCAGCACTAGAGAGCTCAGTGCAGTCTCAGAGAGCAGTCAAGGATTCTGAGGCTTGGTGGTGAGAAGCACAGTCTGGAGATGCAGTCTGAGGTTTGGTGGATCGCCCCTTTGGTCTGAGCATTGGTAGAGGTGAGAACTCTCTAGTGGCCGGCTGCTTTGCTTCTCTGATCTTCAAATCAGCTTGAACCCCAATGTCTTTGGGCTTTTATTATTCATGTTGCAATCTGCCAGTTAAGCCCTATGTCCAAAAGGTTCCTCTACCTCCTAAAACAATGCCACTAGATAGTTCAAATGCATAAGTCTATGGGAGACACTTCACACAAACCTTATCAATCACTGATCCCACAGAATTTAAATAAACAGATGAATGAAGATGTCAGCTGAAGACTTAGACAAGAAACTCAGCAAAGGGATACATTCAAAGCCATAACAAAAGAAAAAAAATATAAAAGGAAAATTTGGAAATTTCCATCTCTTAGAAAATTATTTTATGAAGGGCTGCAGAAACAGTTCAGTGAATAAAGGCCCAACCCTGATGACCCATTTTTTGATCTTTAGGACTTAAATGGTAGTAAAAAAGCAGACGCCAGTGAGTGCCATGATATGTGAGTGTGCTTGTACACACATGTAGGTATACACATACACACACATTAAAAAAAAAAATAAGATGACAGTCCAGAGCACTAGGTAGAGAAAAAGTAAAAAGTACTGAAGACAAAGTTAAGGAATTACTACAGTAATTCAACAAAGAGAGACAGAGGTTGCATACACGTTTAATCCCAGCACTCAGGAGACAGAGGCAGGCAAGATCTCTTATTTCAAGGCCAGCATGGCCTACAGAGTAAGTTCCAGGTCAGTCATCAGGGTTACACAGAAAACTCGTCTCAAAAACAACATTCAAAAAAAAAAAAAAAAGAAAGAAAGAAAAGGCAGTATTTGCATTTATAAAGTTGCATATGCTGTGGAACAATTCTTTTCTACACTAAAAATATGTATTACTCTCCTTGGTTATATCCAGTAGCTGGGCAGGAAGTTAAGCAGAAAAGCCAAACTGAGAATGATGGGAAGAAGGAAGGTAGAGTCGAGATAGCAGCCAGTCAGCTGCCCAGGAAGCAAGACATGCTAGAAAACAGGTAAAGCCACATGGAAATACATAGATTAACAGAAATGGGTTAATGTGGATCTGGAAAGATGGCTCAGTGGTTAAGAGCACTGACTGCTTTTCCAGAGGACCCAGGTTCAATTCCCAGCACCCACATGGCAGCTCATAACTGCCTGTAATCCCAGTTTCAGGGGACCCACCAACTTCACATAGATACATACACATGCAGGCAAAACATGAATGCACATGAAATAAAAATAAAGAAATCATTTTTAAAAATGGGTTAATTTTTTTTTTTTTTTTTTTTTTTTGGTTTTTCGAGACAGGGTTTCCCTGTGGCTTTGGAGGCTGTCCTGGAACTCGCTCGGTAGACCAGGCTGGTCTCGAACTCACAGTGATCCGCCTGCCTCTGCCTCCCGAGTGCTGGGATTAAAGGCTTGCGCCACCAACGCCCGGCAAAAAACTGGGTTAATTTAAAAATAAGAGTTAGTGAATAACAAGCCTGAGCTATTGGCTGAGCATTTATAATTCATATTTAGTCTCTGAGTTGATTATTTGGGACCGGGTGGTTAGGACAGGAAACATCTGGTTACATACATGTATGTATTCCAACAAATTGGAAAAATCTAGAAGGAATGTATAAACTTTTGGATGTGACCTAACAAAACTGAACAATGAGATCAGTGTAACCATGTCCTAGAAGAAGAACTAAGTAGAAGACCCTGTTTCTGAACAAAAAAAGGAAAAAAAACAAACAAACAAACAAACAAAATCTCTAGTTCCAGTGGGGAGAAACATGACTGCATTACTGGTAATATTCATAATTAAATTCATACACAATTTGTTGAACATTTGATAATGATGTTCTAATATTTCATCACACTCAGACTATAAGTGGATTATTTAGAGACACGAAATTTCCTACATCTCATTTCATAGCTGAGATTCAACCCTCATCCACCTCACTGTGCCACAAGAGGAAGGGGAACTCCAGCTCCATGCTCTCCATTCACCCAGTCTGTGGCCTAGGTTAGCTAGAAAAAGAAAACAAAAAACAGCTGACTTGGTTAGCCCAAGTCCTTGGGTGGCAGTGGAGCTGGCAGGAGGCAAGGAAGCTGGGAAGGGACAGCTGGCGAGCGGCAAGCTGACAGAGAGCTCACAGACAGACCCTGGGGTTCCTGGGAGCCTCTACTCAACTGCTGTGCTGCTGGTTCTCCTTCCCAGACAGCCTTTCTACAGCTCATCCTAGAGTAAATCCACCAATTAAGAGGAAATTAGGCCAGGGAGGGTAGCTCACACCTGCAATCCCAACACATGGGAGGCTGAAGCATGAGGATCAAGAATTTGAGGCCAGCCTGAACTATACAGAGTTGAAGGCCAGCTGGGCTACTGAGTGGAACCTCCTTAATAAAACAAAAGCAAAAAGGAAAACTGTATCTGTGTTTATTAATACATGTGTGGTACAAAATTCAGTAACACAAAAGGTAAAATACAGATGACCTGGGTGGAGAAGTCAGCTGAGCAGTAATCATGAATGCGGCTCTGGGCTCAGTCTCCATGGTAACCCTCCACTGTTGTCAAAATTTATCTCTGTTAGTTTTGTCGCTCAGCTCCATCAGCAATGGCTGATGTTCCAGTTTCTTGTGCAGTCTTTGCTCTATTAAATGATTATTTCTGCCATTCTCCTCTTGGATACTTCAGGCTGGATACAAACTTAAAACTATCACATCTTTACTAAACATTTATCATTTTTCAAATAGTCACCCATCTTCAATTAACAAATTATGTAATCATCTAGAATGTTCTTGACTCTGTATTGTAAGCAAAGCTAGGCAGGAACCACACCACGTGTGGGAAAGGAAGCATTGCAAAGACATCCCAGAGGACCTGCACTTTAGACCTGCAACACTATGAAGAGCCAGGTGACCTTTCTTTCCAAATCCATAAAGTATGAATACCAACCCACCTTTTCCTAGTTCATGGGGTTAAGACTCAATTATTTAATATACTAATATATAGGAAGCACATTAAAGCACTGCTATATAAATGTAAGGTCATCAATATTCATTTGTATCTCTACAGAAACCACTTAAAACTAATAAGATGCATAATAAATAAGTAACTGAACAGACACATACTTCTTGCTATGCCAATTCTGTGCTATATTACAGTCACAATCTCACCCTTTGGGTCATTGAGTGAAAAGGACAACTCAGGTGTCAACAGAAACAGCCTTCTTTTGAGAAAGTATGACCTCCAAGATCCTGCTCATAACAAAAAGAGGTACATTTAACTGGCCTTAAAAAATAATCTCTGTGTGTGTTCATGTATATGTACATGCATGGGAGCATATGCAAACATACATGTACAAGCCATAGTTGACCTTGGGTTTTGTTCAGAAGCTGCTCGTCTTGTTTTTGAGAAAGTGTCTTTCACTAGCCTGGAAGTCACTAAGTAGGTCAGGCCAATGAGCCCCAAGCACCTGCCTGTCTCTGCCTCCCCAGCACTGGAATTGTAAGCATGTACCACCACGTCTAGCTTTTCATGTCAGTGCTGGCAATTGAACTTAACTCCTGATACTTGATGGAAATCACTTCACTAACTAAACTATCTTCCTAGCCCCTGACTAGCTTTTTAAAAACTAATTTCTTTTTATCGTGTACTTGTTTTTATATTGAAGAAAGTTGTTCTTAGTGGGAAGAGAAGACGTTCTACCAAATCAAATTTTATTAAAGCCAAAACTGCTGAGCAAAGTTCACAGTTTTACTGAAGAAAACAGCAGTTCAGAAAGGTTGTGAAACAACAGGAACAGAAGCTAGTAGGAAAAATAATGCTCTTTGAACATTTTAGAACTTAGGACAAAGTTTCAAAAAGAGTAATTAATTTCAAAAAGGGGGGAAAAGCCCAGAGGGTTAGGTAAGTACAGCGGTTCATAAGCACAAGGGTGAGAGCAACAAAGGCTCATCTCATGAAGGGTCCTGGCTGCTCTTTTCCTTACCTCTTCTGCTGTGCTGAAATGCCGCCTCTGAATTTTCTTAGGGCTTAAAAGACTTCGACGACATGAACCACTCCAGGATGGACTTGGGACAGGTTTAATAGGAAATGACTTTTCGTATGCAGACACATGGCAGTGATGGTTTGACTTTCCTGTAAAGGTGTTTGATAATCCACTAAAAAAAAAAGTTTCAAGAAAAGATAAACCTAGTGATTATTTTTGATTTTAAGAAATAATAATAAAGACAGAATGACACAAGTACATTTGTGGGAAATATGTAAGATACAACACACGACGGTTACAGCATCAGGTTCTGCCTATTAAAAGGTCTTAGATTGCTAAATCATATATTTATCAAATAATAAAAAACTTTTTCTTGGATCCACAATCTAGAGTTTCCTTTCTCAAGAACCAAATAGCAAGCAATATGGAATGAGGTAGAACAAACCAGATTAGTGTTTGTTGGAAAACCCAGAGTAGAGGCACATTAACCACATTTTTTTTTCTATCATACTTCACATTTCTATCCCACAGTCCTGTCCCTAACACTCTTTGGAAGGAATTTCTTCAAACATACAAGGATAGATCAAGCAGAAGTTTCACAACTGAACTTCTACAGTAAATTTTAAAATTTCCTACAGAACCAATAGAGGGCTCTCTTCCTTCAGGAAAAGCAACCAGAAGGTTTTTGTTTGTTTGTTTGTTTTCCAGGCTGTACAGCTTCTGCTATACTCTACAGGTGGTACATGCTATGATCTATAGGCTGCACACACTCTGTGATCTACAGACTGTACAACACACTGTGGATTCTTGTGCCCTTTGTAGTGGGAAACACATAAAAAATACCTTTGTGAACTCAAAACTTCAATCTTCTATCTAAAGCTCACTAGTTTTAAGCTTTTCCCTCCTCACAGGATGCTTTCCATTAACCATTACCTAGCAAGTCTGAGGTAGTTACTCTAGCCAAAATAAGTTTTTCTTCTAATTAATTCCCCCTGAGAACTCAGTTGCATACTAAGCTAGATTCAATAAACTAAACTAATTACATGGTCTGAATCTAAATGAGATGACCAGATGTTGAAAACACCAAAAAGCAAATATACTCTCTTAACTTTTAAAAATCTATGGCTTTTTATGTAGACTACAGCAGAGGAAGGAACAAGAGACCCCAGACTTCAGCTCAGGCTTATGTTCTTGGGCTGGGAAGACTCGGCTAACAAGAGAGCAGTGGTAGGGTAGTGCAAGTGTGTGGGAAAGACAAAATGGGTTCTCCACAGTGTCTTTTGTTCTGTGCTTCCTGAAGTGTGTCTTTTCAACATTAAAATGATCAAACCAAAATAAATAAAGTATTGTGAAACGTCAGGAAACAAGTATCCTACCCATACTACCCACATCTAATGCGCTTGAGTCTACCAGAGCCAGAAGCAAGTTCAAAGGGTAGTGTGGCAGGAAAGTGATGCCATTAAAATGCAAACTAGCAGTAGCAGTATCCCCCACTGCCAGCTATTCTAGGTTACAAAACCAAAGCTGTCAGACTATTAGCATTAAAAGAATAACAAGGATAGGCTTGGTGTCCCAGGCCCCTAGGTTCAGCTATCCAGGAAGCTATGGCAGGAGAATCACAAGTTCAAGGCCAGTCTGGTGACTCATGCAGTAAAAGGAGGGTGGGCGGTGCAGCTCAGTTTAGACAACTGCCCAGCAGGACTGAGACCCTGGGTGCATGCTCCGCAGCACCAAACCAGACAGCACAATACAAACACTTAAAGGGAATTTCAAAACCTATTTAATTCATCACGATAATTAAAATTCATTTAAACTATATGAAGTAGTCATTTAAAAAAACTTACTTTGAAAACTGGAATTCAAAAAAAGAACTAATCAATTATCCTGCCTTTCCCGTAACAGACAACGTGTTTCAGGGTAATCAAACAGCGTTAACTTACGGGGTGGGGGTGGGGGGACAAAAACAAAAAACAATGCCAACTAATAAAAAGAAACAACAACAAAGAAAGATTTCATTAACTCTAAAAATCACTAGATAAGGATTTCAAATTGATATCAATAATTACTAAGGGATTAGACAAAATAAAACTGTTCATTTGCAATGCCAAAGAAACCACATTCAGATTATATTCAAATCACAGAAGCTCTACCTGTATGATCAGGGACCAGACCAAAGTCAATCTACCGTGACAGAAGACCCGGAACATGATAGTGTTTGTTTTCTAGTGGGACATAATATCATTATTTCTTTGAGTCAAGAAATTAACTTACAAAAAGCACAGGGGATGGAGAATAAAACAATACCATGAAGAAATAACCTATCAAATCCAAAGGGCAACTATATGCAAAAAGTCATGCCATTAAAGCACAACTGACAAGTGCAGTCCCACATAGAATATTGGCTTGGATAAACGAGATATAAATGCTATTTAAAAAGCCGAGGACAGAAGAGTACAGACTACTGTACAAGGCTGATGAAACAGTGTAAACAGTAAAGGTACTTGTTGAACAAGCCTGGAGATCTAATGACCCCTGGAACCCAAGTAAAAGTACAAGGTATCAACTCCATAAAATTGTCCTCTAATCTCCACATGACTGCCATGACACACAAACTCACACACATATCACATATTAATAATAAATTAATACTTTAAAAAAATCATATGCATATGCATAACATGAACTAATCTTTGAAGAAAGATCTAACAGCACCAACAGTATTTGAAAGAAAAAGATTTTTACAAGCGTCCTCAGGGTGGTAGCAATGTGATGTTTTATTTTTATTTTTGCTTATCGACATTTTTTTTTAAAATTTAAAGGATATGTATTGTTTTTATAACTTTACTAAAAAAAACAGTATGGTGTTATCAATTTTTAAAACAGTAGCTTGTTAAAGAATGCATCTTTATGTGTATCTTTAGTGAAGAAAAAAACCATGTCTTGCATAGCATGCAACATGAGAATTGCTACCTACAAGACAGACAGAAGCAGGAAGAGGCTTGGAAGGAAAACAATGGGAGAAGGAGCTTGAGGGGAGTGCAAAGGCTTTCACTTTACTGCCAATATTTTAATGTTTATAACATAAATGTACTAATTCTTATATAATTAAAAAATTTAAAAAGTAGTGAAAATAACCCCCAAGAGCCATAACATATATTCCCAGAGTCCATGGGCTAATAATCTTCAAGTAAATAAAAGCCATTATGTTGGTTTCAGTCAATTACAAAGCTTGGTTAACCAAGAAACTAAATGACCTCACATTTCTCAGATATATACAGAGAATTTTAGTATGTAAAATGAAAAAAAAAATAGGTAATTCAATGAAAAGTCAAACATGTCAAGGACTTAAAAACTTATAGAACAACTTTATTAATACATGGGCTGGGAGTCAGGCATGGTGGTACATCTGTAATCTCAGGACCCAGGTTTTAGAGGCAGGAGGATCAGATCAGAGTCATGCTTGCCTACATGCTGAGTCTGAGTCCAGGCTGGGCTACATGAGATCTCATCTCCAACAAACAAAAATAAATACACTGATGGGCTGCAAATATAGCCCAGTAGCAGAGTACTTGCTAGTGTATACAATTCCCTGGGTATGATTTCCCAACACTGTCAAAAATTAAACATAATAAAGAATCTGAGGTATCCATTAATGACCAGTATAACTTTGGCAGGGGAATGGGTACGGTTCTCTAAGACCCTTTTCTATGGAGTTACAAGAGCCTGGCTCTAACCAGTGCAGCTTCGGAGCAAGTTCGAGTCAGCTCCTGTGAAAGGCTGCAGACTCTGCTGTAGACTGACTTAATTTCTTCTTTAAAACTTGTACTGGTTATTTGAGCACTATCCTAAAGAGTTCTAAACACTTACACCCACCAGGACTTCCTTTAAAAGTATCTCTTCTAATGATTTACAAGAGACACAAAGGAAATAGATTTGTGTATCTTGTTACGGTTTAAAGCCCTAAAATGATATTACTCATTGAAAATTCTAATGCGCATCTACCTTATAGCCTTTTTCTTATATCTGAAGAAGGGTTTGAGAAACAGGTAGACAAAAAACTAACCTTGAGGTCTTTCTGGTTTCGAGGTAAAGACTTCGGCTATTTCTTGATTTTTGTAATGTTGACACTGATGCTGGAGTGGAATTTCTCCACTGTCCATTTGCACTTTGACCAAAGGTTCTTGTGTCATTTGAGCCAAGGAAACTGTCTGAGGAAGGGTTATCTAAAATAAAATTAAAAAGTTTGAATAAGAACAAATAAATAACAAATAAAAGATCTAGGTCTTTTCATGATTGCAACCATGTTCCATCATTGCATTCCAAAGTAACGCAGCATATCACCATGTCTCTCATGGAAAAAAGATTCCAGTCTCAACTGCCAATAAATCTGCAGCAAGGGAACTTCTACAAACTATAATTGATTCAGCCATACTAACCTGAAAATTGATGAAGGAGCTGAATCCTGCCACAGCCATGTGCCTTATCTGCATCAATGTGACTCCGTGGTGTCCACCAAAAGTCAACATTTTACCCCAACTATATCTTGCAAGCACTCCCAGGCCTGGGCCTGAAAGAAGGTAGGCCAGACCAGTAAGAAAGCAAGTGGAGGGCCGAGGAGATCGTAATTCAAATGAACAACAATTATTGCTTAATAAGCAGCTGGTGTCACTTTCTTCTGTGTGGTTATGTTCCAGACTCTGAGAACCTCTCAGAGCACAGATCTAACTGCTGCCCATACTGGCTGGCTTATGGCAAAAATGACCACTATATAACTCTGGTTCTAGTATGATCTTCAGTTTCTTAAAGCCATAATCATCCTTCATTCATTCTACTCCAATGCTTGCTACTGCAATCAGACTGAGGATTGTTTATTATTTTAATTTTGTGAATTCTGGATTATAAACTAGAATGACAAAAACCTCTTGAAGTTTTAGCTAGGAGTAGTAAAATAATTCCTATACCTTCTTTTCTCTATCAGGAGGCCCAAATACATTAAAACAGCTCCGACAAAACAGCTTCAGACATTAGGCTATGGAATTCCAAGGAGCTTCAGTGGAAAAAATAAGAATAATTCTCTAGTCTTCGAATTTTTGTCTTATACTAACAATATTCTGAAGTGTTCCTTTCAAAGGACATTAACAACGACCTCTGCACAACAGTATGCATTTTTGTTATTTAAAGTATTTGGGTGGGTATGGTGATACACACCTGCACTTCCAGAATGTGAGAGGCTGAGGCAGGACAACCACGAGTTGAAGGCCTGCCACGGCTACACTGAGACTGTCTCCACACTCATACACAGGCAAGTAAGTGTCTGCCTTTTAACACTCTACTCGAATAAAACAGCCTTTAAAAAGAAGGCCCTTAAGTAAACCATGAAAACAGGATAAGAGGGAGACAAGGCATCCTCGGTGCTGTTAGTATCAAATGAGTCACCAGTCACTGCAGTCACTTAGGCTTACACTTGACTTAAGTAATTCATCTTCAAAATGAATCACAACTTCCCTCCTCTGTAGTACACAGGGCTTAACCTGTATGACTACTGTTACTCTAAAGACAGATATGTGAGAGCCATAGTAGGAAACCTAGAAGACAGTGTTTGCTAAGTGCAAAGCAGTAACAGCTGAAACAATAGGCCTTCACACTTTTTGCTAAATGATATATCTAACTAAAGATGATACGAGAAAGAAGTCTGTTAAAAAATATAAATCATCTTGACAGACGTGAAATTTGAGATCAAGGACAAGTCAGAACAGTCTTCCTTAGAGCACTCACTGGAGGGGGAAACATGGGCTCAGGCAGGTGGTCTAGGCCCTGCTAATGGTGTCACTGAAGAATCCTCTGATTGCTGGTGGGGATAGGAGACTAATAACAGGCTACAAATCTTTTTTTTTTTTTAAGAAAAATTTAACCTGCTATTTTGTCATCACTAAGAAATTAGAGTTATAAAGCCAAAAACAAAGTAATTTATTATATATTCATACCTGCAAACAAAACTAGAATATAATGAAAATGCAATTGTGGTTATGTTCTAATAAAATGACTGAGTGCTTTTCTCTGCAAGTTTCCTGCAAAAATGGGCAATGTGTTTATGAAAATAATAAGCTGTACTAAAAAAACAAGAATGAGCAACAAGACCACCTCCCCTGGAATCTAGATAAACTGCTCCCTACAATACACACACACAAAAGAAGAGAAAAAAAGAACGTGTCAGATATCATTCACTGAAAGTAACTATTTCTCCTGCTAATATTGGGATTTATTAGTTACTGTAGTAGCAGGACACTAAAAAAACCTTCTACATGTTAGCTTAGTAACCCAATTTAACATATTTTCCAAAGATATTGATAAATTTAAAGCAACAGAAAATTCTTTTTGTCTCAATCTACTTTTTTGGTTGCTCTTTTGGATTAAAAACACTCTGAAGTTTTCCAGTGTGCACTTCATAAGACTGGCTATTAAAGTCAAAGCGTTGCATTTATGTTTTCTAAACAATTCAGAAAAGTCACTTTCTTTTATAGTTTGAGTAGACTTTCTGGAAGGTTTTATCCAGAGATAGGTCCAACAGAACAATAAATCATCGGCTCCAGACCCTACAACGTGGACTTCCCCGTTTTTACTTTCATCTTTAGAAGACAGAGCTGGCAAAACAGCAGAGGCAGCTCAAGTGACTGACTGCATCTAAGCAGACAGCAGAGACAGAGTTGTGCAGGGCTTGTAATGTAATGGGTATGGCAAAGGGAAAAGGCTTTAAAGAACCTGGTTTAAAGTAGCTTTGTTTTTGTTTGTTGCTGGGGATCAAATCCTGGACCCTGTGTCTGTATACTGGCTATAAAATTCTGACTGTAAGGTCTGCGGCATGCTATAAACTTGCTTAATCAAGAACTAGGTGATCTGACAGATGAACAGACCCTATTTTAAGTTACAGATAGTACAGGAATAAGCATAGCAGAAAGCTCAGCATTCCCTCTTCAGCATGACTTCATTATTCAGGTATTCTTCTCTCATGTATACAAAACGATTACAAAATATTTTTATTTTCTTAAGAAGGTCATAAATTCAGGTGCAAGATAAACTTTAATGGAAGATTTTTGGTATGGGGATCAACTTGTGGTATGATGATAAATACAGGAAAGGTGTAATAATTCCTAACAATTTGTGGCTAAGAAGAAAGCCAAGAATTTGGTCAATTGTTGCCACAGTGAAGAAAAAGAGGATCTGGGGCAATCTCAGATATATTGTTGTCAGTATTAAGGTTCAACTAAAATTTAAGAGAAAAATTGTATGAATGCTTTTAAGTGGTGTTATTAATAATAATTAACAATGGCAAAGGTGTAGTGGACTTAAGCCCTAGGAAAAATAATGATGACACAAATGAAGGCACTGGGCATTTATCCCAAATCATAAAGCCTTGGGGTGGTCCAACTGTACATCAGAATTACAAACTTGGAATTTTAGTGAAATAATCTGTTTTTCTACATAACATTTGCCAGTATACTCTAGTACAGCACTCTATAAACAATATTGGTGCATGTAGCAAAATGGGTATGCACTTTTTTATAGGGATAAGTAAAGTCAAAACAGAAAACTCTTCGTGTTAGTTTATGTAGGTTTTAATGTCAAATCTTTAAAAAAAAGTTCTTTTTAGAGCTTTTGGAGTTTGAAACTACACATAGGGATTATGACTGTGCACAACAATGCCACAGATTAAAAATACACAGAAAATAATAAATATGGGGAAAAACACGTGAGCAGATAGAAAACAAAAAGTACAAACTTGGGAGTTACAAAGATTTTATATGCCAAATCATATAATGTGTACCATGAATATATTCAGAGATAAACTGGAAGAGGCCAAAGAGAATGGAGTTAAATAAGATTTAGTTTTTAGTCAAGGGGTTTAAGTCTAATTTTCTATACTATACAACTATTTACTATGAACCAATTATTTTTAACACAATGGAATGCTTCTATCAGTAGTAACCTGGCCTATGAAATAGCAAGCAAATACAGTGTGATTCAAATGGAAATATTAAAGATATGAACTAACTACTCAGCTGTCTTTTCTGTAGGATTAATAATGAACTAACTATCTATCATGTCAGTTTTCTTTGTTCACCAAAAAGCCCTTTTCAATAATAATGGCAGAAGAGTTGCTTTCTGAGTTCCTTTTTACCATTGAAATTATTCACATACTATGTAGAGGTCACTGCCCATCCTGAGGGGAAATGTAGTGCCCAAGGTATAGTACCACCCACCTAAATAATGCACACTTAAATATAATATAAGTCTAAAAGAACATCATACTAACGTCTTTTTAGGGGAGGAGATCTCATCTTGCTGACAAAGAATCCTGAGGAAGCCAAATAATAATAATAATTATTATGTGCATATGTATTTCATATTTATCATAAGCTTATCATTACAAAACACCCTCTCCTGCAGGCAGGCTCTATGGTATTCCTAATATCCCTGTATTTGTAGTAAAATGGGATTTTTAAGTGACAGAGTGAAAAGACCTGGGAAGGTCTACTATGCAAAGTCTTAGCTATCCAGGTCAGAGGCAGCTGTCAGAAGTCTAACCCTTAGGAAGGGGCAGACAACGAGGCTGCCGCCAGCCAGGGAGTAAGAGTCGCTTAGAAAGTAACTTTATCCTGGGTCCCAGGTTGAGTCGCAAAGTCCTTGAATACACAAGCATATGGCTGTGGCAGGTGCTAGATAGAAACATGTAGTTAACCCTTCCTTCCCTGAAGGAAGAACAAACTTGGGCAGAAATAAATTTTTAGGTTTGATTGTTTCAAGAACAGAAGTAAGTTAGCCATGAGGTTTAAATCATTATGAAACAAATACCCTTTGTATTACATACACATAGTAAAACAAAACTATTTTACTTTCTATAATGAAATAGATAAAGAGATTACAAAAAACTTTCCCATTCAAAAATTAGTATTTAGTTGGCATTAAATCTAAACTACTATAGCAATGAAATGTATACACATAAATACCTTATTAAATTGATACTTTAATGGGCAAAGGCCATGTTGTTTTTGACAATGCTGTCACTTTTTTTTTTTTAAAGCAGTGCTGGGGAGGAAACCCAGGGCTTTGAGCACAACAGGTAAGTCCTCAACCACCACGCCATGTCCCAGTACCTGATACTGTTCTCACTTTTATAGGTAAACACGAAATATCTGCTATGAAGAAATGTGATGGGTGTGCAGTGAGCTGAATATAAGCAATGAGCCATACCTGAATAATAATCTGGATTACAAGTTGCATTTCTTGTAGAACATGTGGAAGGTCCGTCCAAAATCTCCTGCCTAGAAGGCAGGATCTAAAACAGAAGATTTTAGATTTCTTAAATTATCATTTTGAGAATAAAAGAGGATAAAAGTCTACACTAAGGAAGACATCACTAAACAGGACTATGATACACTCTGAAACTCAATACACTATGTATATACCTGTTGTATTTTAAATAAGCTGTACTCTAACAAGAAAAAGACAATTTGGTGAAATTACTTAGATTTAAGAGGAAAGAAGGGAAATAACTATCTGCTCTACAATGTAAAGCACGTTCATTGCATGGTGTATCTGCATTTACTCTATTATATCAGAAGATAAGCTATGGAAGCTGAGAAAGTCAACTGGGCTTTAAATACTTTACAGACCACTTTTTATCAGGACAGCTGTTGCAATCTTAGCATAAGCACAAAAATGTAAATATCCATGAGACACTCATGACTCTGGAGGACCAGTGCCTAACCCTCTACACTTACGCACACTCACACAGCAACAAATTATCTCATACAAATTACCAATGGCTTGTCTACTGAACAATACTATTTTCTTTGTTTGAATTTAAAAATGTAATTTATTTATTGTACATCCCATGGCATAAATGAGGAAGTCAGAGGACTCAGTTCTCTTCTTCTACTATGTGAGTCTCAAGGATCAAACTAGGGCCATCAGGCTTGGCAAACTGTCTTTCCCTGCTGAGCCATGTTTCTGGCCCAAGACTGTTGTTTAATAGCACACAAGTCAGCTGGGATGCTTTGACGGTATAGCTTCTGTCCAGTGGAGATGCTAATGTTCTGCATTTCCACCAGGCCCCCAGCAATGCACGTGCTGCACTCTGGACCAGACCTCGAAACACTGAAGTATATCACAGCCAAAGCTCCAGATGACTGTGCATTCCCCCTCCCCTAAGCTAATGCTTAGTAATTTTAAGACCTAGTTTAAAAGAACAAAGATCTATATGTCAATAGTTTAATATCCAAAGGAACAACAAAGAGCTTTCTAAAAACATTATCCTTAATTCATGTATCATCTGTTTTGTCTTAACTTTATTATTTTAAACTAAGCAGAAATCCAAACACTAAAATTATTTATTCTGAAAAGTTCACATGCTTGAATTTTTTAGTGCGACATTCAAACTGTTATCAGATGAATATTTATAATGAACAAAACAATCACTTCATTAAGGAAAAAAAATTATCCCTAACCTGCTGGTCAGAAAGTGAGAGCTGGTCCTCTGGAAAACATGACTGTGGCAGCAGGTGGGTTTTGAAGGCGGAGTTATTATGGTTCACTAAAGTTACTTCTCCAGCATCCATCTTCATATTGTCGGCAGTATCGTCTAGGGAAAGAGTTCAGATTAGATCAAGTCACACAATCCTTCAATAATAGTTTCCTATGAGCCAATCTTTTCACCTAATAAAAATGACTCTCAAAGAAGAATTATACAGTCAAATAAAACCTCCTTTCTTAACATATGAAGACACTGGCCTATCTAGAATTCGCCAAGTAGCTCAAAATCTACACAAGAATAAAAAGCAGCCTGGTTTATACTTCTTAAAATAATGAAATTTCCTCCAAAGAAAACTTTTAATGTCTTAAGTATAATAAATTTAATATTAAAGAACAGGATACCAGGTAAGGAACCATGCTTGCAAAGCAAAGGCAGACCAGTTGATCCAGGAGATGGACAACACAGCAAGCCCTGTGTAGTGTACATCACTATTCAGAAACTCTCTTCATATTGGTCCATTTCCTATCTTAACTCAAAAAGGGGCTTTAAAATTGAAGCCAGGAGGGGGGCTGGAGAGATGGCTCAGAGGTTAAGAGCACAGACTGCTCTTCCAGAGGTCCTGAGTTCAATTCCCAGCAACCACATGGTGGCTCACAACCATCCATGAGATCTGGTGCCCTCTTCTGGCACACAGACATAAATGGAGGCAGAATGTTATATTCCTAATAAATAATAAATTGAAGCCAGGAGTTGGGAACATGGCTCAGTCAGTAGGAATTCTTGCTGTACACGTGTAAGAACCTCAGTTTGAGTCCTTAGCACCCATGTGAAAAACTAGATATGGCTGTGTTTGTCTGGACCAGCACTGAGGGGTACAAACAGGCAGGTTCTGGGAGCTTACTGAGCAGCAGCTAACCTAGCAAAAACAGTAAGCTTCCAATTCAGTGAAAGTCGCTGTCTTAAAAGAATAAGGCAGACAACATACTCAAAATCCTCTTCGGGACTGTACACGAATCACCATGGGCATGCACCCTCCCCCACATACTAGCCATTAAAAACTCAATCCATTTGATTTTTCTGTAAAAAAGTAGAATTCATATGGCTCTTGGTAAGTATCATCTCATTGACTATAGTAGCATGGCAGAATCTTACTTTAGAAACATTTTTACCATAAAAGCAAAAACAGAACAATTGAGTTATGAGAACTCAGTGACTTACACTGATAACAGCAATGAGAAAATGGAAACAAATAAGGAGAGGGAGAGAGTAGACTAAGGGAAGAAAGAGAGTACACAGTGGTGGGGGGGGGGGTGCAAAAATGTAAAAAGGAAAGGAAAGCTTAAGGCGAATTTAAAAGAACCATGGAGACAGCCATTTCAGCTGACTCCTAAACTGGCTGCTATTCTCGCCTTTACACTGACCGAGCTCCTCTCAGATATACTACTGAGAATGAAACAGGGAAATGCTCTGATTGCAAAGTTTCACTATCACTGGCTACATGAAATAAAACATTTACCTTACTCAAATTACTTATCCTATGGGAGGCAGTGCAACACAGAACTAAAGGACAGGGATTGAGCTCTGCCGATGGAGCATAAGACTCTAAGCAGGTTTCTGAACCTGCATCTCATTCTCCTTATTGATACAATACATTGTTGGTACAATCCTGTATATTTTGTACACACTATTAGGTATCCTTGTAAGATGGCTGAAACAATGAAATGAATTAACACATGTTAAGTACTTAGAGTGGATACAGAGTAAGGGTAACAAATACTGCTAGTGTGCATTTGTTTTTTCAATACAATGAATAAGAAAGTGACCTTAAATGATTCTGTATGCAATGTATTAGCCAAAGGAAAATAATACTGAGTATGTAGTAGTATTTAATTTGGACTAAGATCTTGTAATATCATTACTATCCACAAAGACACAAACAGCAAATACTGGGACAACTTGCTCTTTCTTTCCAGCCTAACTTGTCAGTAACTAAGAGGTTTGAATGACTGCTTGAGTTAGTCTTACCCATTTCAGGTCTTTTCACATCACTGACTTTAGCAAAGACACAAAACCCTATAAAAGAAGACACAAAACATAAATATTACACTGTGAAGCATTTAGTTAAAATATTATATAACAGGAACTTACATGGAAGTGACAATTATAATCATTAGTGGAGAAAAATGGCAAAGGCTATTGATTTGTTGAGAAAAAGGTGAAAAATAAGATTGGTCTCAGGTATTCCCAATCATTGCTGCAAGCTATGCTTCATGAAACAGAAATTACAGGTAACCCAGAGAATCATGGATCATAAAAGCAGAAATCAAGATGAGTGAGCCAACCCTCAGGAGACTAATCATATATAAAAATCAGACAGCGACTACCACTGCTTTTTCTATTACCTCATATTAAAACACTTTTCTATGTAAGCGACGGATTTTGTGATCCTGAGATTTCTCTTCCATACATCTTACTAGCGGACAAACATGAGAGAAATTTATTGAGTACAATCAAGGAATACTTTCAGTTGTACAAAGCACTCCTTCTCTACTCCTCTTCCAACATTATCCATCAAACTGCTAAAACCAGTTAGAACCCAGCTCAATGGTAAACCCTTGCATAGCATGTACAAGGTCCTTTATTCAATCCTTAACCAACCCAACCACCCAAACCAAATGAAACTCGCTTTAACCAAAGCTCCTGTATCTATACAGAAGTTCCCCTCTTGTCGGAGACATGTTGGAAGGCTACCAGTATATGTCTTATTGGGAACAGGCAAAAAGCACCCTATCCTAAGTACTGCTATTTTGACTTCAGACTCCATTTTACCTGTAGAGTGAAACAAAGTTCAGGTTCCCAAGCCCTAGGGGAGCTGGGAACCCTCCAGTAGCTGACCCACCTCCTCCTTAAGCCACAGAAATAGTCACTGTTTAGTTCTCTAGAAACATATGGCTGTTCCCAGCAAAAGAAAGAACAAATGAATCTGATTGGCCGAACTGAAATGTTTGCATTGTATATCAATTGACAATGATGGAACATTCAAGGAAGCCCCTAATCTTTGAATTCTGATTGGTGAAAAATTGTAAGTTGGTAACAAATGTTTATGGTTTTATGCTTAAATACTTGCTTCAACTGGCATTCGGGCCACATCAGTCCCTGCGTCTGCTCTGTGGCCCTGAAGGACCAGTCCTCCCTTCCCACTTCTTTTGTGCTGCCCTGCAGTAAATCTTGCCTGGAGGTAACTTCTTGTGTCTACTTGGATTGACTCAGAGCCTCGGATCACCAGTCTGAAACTACTGAATTGTATATGCACACACACATACACACATACATACATACACACTTCCTATACATATGGCTCTAAGAAAGTTTCATTTAAATTAGAAGAGATTAACAACAGTCATAAGAAGCAGGTAGATCTCTGAGTTTGAGGCAGTCTGGTCTACATAAATAGTTCTAAGCCAGCTAGGGTTACACAGCAGAACACACACTCTGTGTGTATGTGTTCCCATGAATAGTCTATCTCAAAATATAGAATTTTCCATTTATTTTCTAAATACAGTTGACTGTATCTGCAGAAAGTGAAGTTACAGATAATGAATTTTCCCAGAAAAGGGTTAAGAGCCTAACTGCTTGGAACTACTTAACATAACCACACACACATACACACCCCCACTTTTAGCACCATAGTTAAGACTGAGTACTTGGTTATCAAGTCCACAGCCATCCTGAATCCTCCAAATATTCAAGGGACTGTGATGTCAACAGGCTTTTTCAATGGTCACAATAACAAAGAGAACAGAATTTCTCCAGTCTATCCTCCCCTTTCCTTTTTAAAGGGGTAGAATTTTTTTTAATTTCTTTATTTTATGTGTATGAGTATTTTGCCTGAATGTGTGGCTGTGCACCATGTGCATGCCTAGTGCCTGTGGTGGCCAGAAGAGGGCATCAGATCCCTGGGAACTGGAGTTACAGATGGTTGTGAGTCACCAAGTGGGTTTAGGGAGTTGAACCTGGTTCCTCTGGAAGAACAGCCAGCGCTCTCAACAACTGAGCTATTCCTCCTGCCCTAGGGTGGAATTATTTAGGATCCAGATTAATGTGCGGGAGGAAATCCTATCAACCAAGGTCACCTAATTGTGACTAGCCCATTCCACCCACGTTTTTTAAAAAAGAAGACTGCCAAGCCTGGTGGGGTGGCCATAGTTTTGTTTTTTTTGTTTTTTTGTTTTTTTTGGTTTTTTTTGGTTTTACAAGACAGGGTTTCTCCATATTGTTTTGGAGTCTGTCCTGGAACTCACTCAGTAGACCAGGCTTGGTCTGGAACTCACAGAGATCCCCTGCCTCTGCCTCCCGAGTGCTGGGATTAAAGGCATGTGCCACCACCGCCCGGCTTGTGGCCATGTTTTTAATCCCAGTGTTTGTGAGGCAAAAGCAGGCAGATCTCTGTGTGTTCTAGGACAGCCTGGTCTAGAAAGGAAGTTCCAGGACAGCCAGGGCTGTTATACAGAGAAACCCTGTCTCACCAAAAAAAAAAAAAAAAAAGGAAAGAGGAGGAGACAGGGAAGGAAAACGGCCAATCTTCGAGTACAGAGTATAGTATCCAGAACTTGGAAGGTAGAAAGTTTGGGGTCACTCTGAATTATACAGCAGGATGCTCTCTCAAAAAAGAAAATCTGCTATCCAGTAGAACAACCCCAGTTAATTTCTTTTTTAGTTTAGAGATGTGGAAGGGGAAAACAAGATACAAAGTCAGTAATTCAGAAAAGTTAAATGACTTGCATGGAATCACACCAATGGGGCAAAAGGAAGAAGGCCAGAATCCCCCAGCAAGGGTACCTCTCAAGCACAGTACAGTTTCACAAACACCCTCATTCAGTTCTACCTGGGCGCCGGGCAGTAGTGGCGCACGCCTTTAATCCCAGCACTCGGGAGGCAGAGGCAGGCAGATCTCTGTGAGTTCAAGGCTGGGCTGGACCGACAGCCTCCAAAACAATACAGAGAAACCCTGTCTCGTAACCCCCCCCCAAAAAAACAACAAAAAAAAAAAAACAGGCAACAAAACAAAACTAGATAAGGAGCTTTGATGTCAACAAATTCTAGCAAGGATGACAATTTTTCCTTTTAAGAAAATCTTTCTTGGGCTGGAGAGATGGCTCAGAGGTTAAGAGCACTGACTGCTCTTCCAGAGGTCTTGAGTTCAATTCCCAGCAACCACATGGTGGCTGACAACCATCTACAATTCAATCTGGTGTATGTGTAATAAATAAATAAATCTAAAAAAAAATCTTTCTTGCCAGGTGGTGGCGACACACACCTTTAATCCCAGCACTCCAGAGGCAGGGCCAGGTGGATCTCTGTGAGTTCGAGGTCAGCCTGATTAACAGAGTCAGTTCCAGGACAGCCAGGGCTGTTATACAGAGAAACCATATCTCAAAACAAATAAATAAATATAGAAAAATAAAATATATTCACAGTCTAGTAAAGGATGCCAGAAGTATTCACAGATCCAGCAAAACTGGTACAACTGGTAGGAGAAATAAAAGTCATGAAAGAAAGAAATTACACCACTCTTTAGCCACAAGTGGCAGAGCCTGTTTGGATGCTTACCCACTTCCTCTCCAGACTTAATTCAACAGAGGAGTGACAGGATATCCACCTTTGCAGTTGGGATAATTAACTGAAATCAGGTAAAGTGAATGAATGAATGAATGAATGAATGAATGAATGTATAAATGAATCACTCTAAAAGGGACAGGGACAGGGAGCAGACAGTCTAATTGGAAAATTAAGGTGTCACTAACGTCAAAGGGAGTGTACTCCACGTGTCAGCAAGAGTCCTGAATACAAATGATCTTTCTGAAGAAGACTTATGCATATTATCTACTTCATCCAGAATTTCTGACTACAACGAAAACCTCAAGTCCAGCAGTTGACAGGCTACAAAAGACGACACAAATTGTTACAAGAATCACCACTGCTCCAACGCAATAAGTATGTCACACGAACCAAATTTTAACAAGTGTGAGTTTCAAGTGATAAAGGAGCGAGTTATTGCCAACAAGATAAGAGGAAAACTGTAGAGGTACTGATAAAACAGAAATCACCAAGCTCGAGACCAGGGAAACCTAGCCCGGATCCAGTAAGATCACGTTAGGGCCACCGAAGAAAAGGTTCAAGACAATTACCAAGAGGCGATGAGCCAGGTAAGAAGAAAACTGTGGCAGTTAAGGGAGTTTTCATAACCTGTGCAGGAGGGTCCAGACGTTTCTCTCTGGTGGTGGCACTAGCGGTATCGCGTCTCGGGGAAATACCACAGGGTAAAAGAGTTGTAGAATTGTTTGCGTGGGACACAGAAGTAGTCGAGAAGTATCATTCAGGTCTCAAAGAAGAAAGGTGAAGCAGGTGGGATTGAAAGCTGAACTTCTTGGTGGAAACAGCGCGCTCTCTCTCTCTCCCCTTGGAGAGGACCCTGCTCTGGCGGGAAACTCCAGGAATCCCAACCGGCCTTTTTCTCTGTGGAGAAGTAGAGCTGGGCGCTGCGAGGGGCCTGCTGTGGCCGCAGGGAAACGGCCTCTCCGCGGGTCAGGAGACCGAGGCCTCAGAGGGCGGCCTCAGGAAGCCCAGCTACCAGCCCCGGGCCAGACAGCCGCCGCCGGACAGCAGGGGGCTGAGGAGGTGGTCCCAGGGGGCGGGGCGGAAGAAAATGCACGGGCCCCACCGCGGTGCTCGCTTCCGCTCAGCCCCGCGGAGGCCGGCGGGCCCGGTCCCACACAGCCTCCCGGCCCAGTCTCCCTCCATCCTCACCCCTCCCCCAGTTTCCCGCCGCCACTCACCGAACCGGAACCGGCTGCTAGGCAAAGGAGTTTCCGGCCGGGCTCAGAACGCAAAGCCCGGGAACCTCCGTGAACCGGAACCGTCTTTACGGCACCGGAAGACGGCTGGGCAGCCGCCGAGGAGGAAAGGGGGTGGGGCAAGGAAGAGGTCAAAGAGCCGAGTTACGGACTCGTGGGACGCCTGCGCGAGGTTGCGAGGCCTGAGAAACCGAGGGAGCGTTTGAGTCTAGTGTTAATCTCGCCGTCGACCCCAGACGGGCTTTTCCTCTTTCTCACACTTGGAGTGCTGTTGGTGCGCTCGCCGTCCTTTGCTTTTCTCTGTCCCTCCGCTTCCTTACCCGCTGTCTTCTGGTTCCGTTCGTTGATTTTTTTTTTTCTTTTTGCTTACGCTCAGGTTTCCATGGCAGCTTTTCTCTGTGGCCTAACATAGTTGTGCCTTCCTTGACAAATGAGGGTTTGAGATCTAAGTCGATTTCAAACTATATCTTCTGGAAATTAGTGTGCATCTTGTCGCGCTTGATGATTGATTACAGGGGAGCAACCAGAGACTGGGAAGAGAGACTCTGGGGACACTTTAGCTTAGACTCTGACAGCATGCAGAACCTTACGTAACTGGAGGAACTTAAATCAGTGATTTCTAATGGGGCTCACCAGAGGTGTTAAACATGTAATCCAGGCTGGGCGTTGGTGGCGCACGCCTTTAATCCCAGCGCTTGGACAAGGGAGAGGCAGGCAGATCTCTTGTGAGTTCGAGAACAGCCTGGTCCACAGAGAGAGTTCCAGGACAGCCTCCAAAGCCACAGAGAAACCCTGTCTCGAAAAAACAAAGCAAACAAACAAAAAATGTAATCCATGTCAGACTTTTTAAGAGGGAATAATGGAGAAGTAAGTTTGTTCATTCAAATTATTTAACAATTTCTTAATTTAGGAGGTCTCTGGCTCAGACCTTACTCTGAAGCCTTGGAGAGGTTAACTGCCTGACTGAATTCAGTCTTGAAGTAGGGAAAACCTCTAAAGCTCCCAGCCTTTTCCATACTATCAGCAACTAGGAAAGGGAGGAGGTAAACTTGCTTGTTCAGGGATCCTGACTTGTATATATAAAAGTAGATTATGATATCACTTTATATACTGATTTTTTAAATGTGACCAAGTCTTAAAATTAAGTGTCCCTAGACCACGTCAACCTTTGACACTTTATTCTACATCTAGTTTTTTGGATTAAATTCTCTTTGTTTCTAGGAAATAACCATGCATAAAGACGAAATTCATCTGAAAATTTTCATGTGTGTGATTCAGTCTCGACAAGTAGTCAGGACTACTGAGAGCACAGGTACCATTGATTAAGCTACAGTGGCAAGGGATGTTTCTCAGAGCTATATAGGATGAGAAATTCTGGTATAATTATACACTTAAGGGGTCAATTGACTTGTTTATGTCTATCCCTAGTTAAAAAAAATCTTTGTTACTGTGTTATGTCTTTTCTTTGCTCAAGTATAAGGGAGATGTTATCCTTGTCCCAAGCAAATAAGACTTGGGAGTTGGGTGAGAACAAGATTTATGGAACATGGGACGGGTGTTGATTTCTATTTAAATTATGGATTATTTTAATCTGTCTGGGCTCTTTTGTGGGAGTCCTTGTACTGTAATAGGACCCCCCAATATGTAAGTCAAGTCCCAAAGAAAAGTGTTTTTCTCCTCTACTTGGTAGTAATGTGTTCTATTTTGCCTCTCTTATTGTCAAAGGAATAGAGTCTTTTGGAGATGAATTATTTATTGATGACAATCATCACTTCTTTTAAGCTTTTTCACTGTGTTTATGGAAAGGAAGTTTTTGATAGCTAAGCCTCTTGAGGAAAATAAAAAGTGTAAGGGGCACCCCCCCCCCAGTCTCACCCTGACAGTGACCTACAGCTATCGCTTCTCAGCTGAGGAGGCTTCAACTTCCGCCATGACCATACCACAGCTCCAACCAAAGACAGGTTACTTGAAGAGACTAGGCACTGTGGATGATCCAAACGCCGTGGGACATATACCCATTATTGAAACTGGTGAGGCATGGGGGAACAATGGGGATGGGTGTGAAAAGAAGTACTGGAAAGCAAATAGTTTATTCATAGCATTAAGCGTCACCCATAGGCCAAAGTTTAAATTTAAGACACAAGGGAGAAAGTGTGTATGGAGGGAGAGAGAGAGAGAGAGAGAGAGAGAGAGAGAGAGAGAGAGAGAGAGAGAGACTGTAGAAAGAGTAGTTATTTGTATGAGCAATACTTATTTAATTTCCTCAATATTTGTATTGGTTTTTTTCTATTGCTGTAAAAAATACTAAATGCCAAGTAATGTATAAAATAAAGAGATTTTATTCACAGCTTAGGAAACTGGAAGCCGAGTGTGGGCAGCTCCTTTTATTTGGCCTCTGCTGAGGATTCTCTTGCCTGAGCCAGATCCTAGCAAGAATATAAGCAAGAAGGAGAGATCACATGGTGAAACAGAAAGCCAAAAAGTGAGGGAGGGGCCATTTCATCTATTTTATAACAGCCTCTTTCACAAGAACTAACTGGGGTCTACAGGAACCTCATTAATTCCTTCCCAAGTTAGTACCTTCAATAACCTATCTAGTTAACTCCCACCAGACCCCGTTCTTAAGGTTTTACCCATTCCTAACATTGCTGCTCTGAATACCACATTTTCAACACATGAAACCTTGAGAGATACACTAAAACTACTTCCAAGCCATAGCTATGTTAAGTCATATGACTCCCATGTTACTATGAGTTATTTAATCTGGCTTTCTTATTTTAGTAAACTTGATATATAAAAATGTGAAACTTCGGGCTGAAGAGATGGCTCAGAGGTTAAGAGCACTGGTTGTTCTTCCAAAGGTCCTGAGTTCAATTCCCAGCAACCACATGGTGGCCCAAAACTATCTGTAATGAAATCTGGCACCCCTTCTGGATTGCAGGCATATATGCAGACAGAACACTATATAATAAATAAATAAATCTTTAAAAAAATGTGAAACTTCTGTCAGGCAGTGGTGGCACATACCTTTAATCCCAGCATTGGGAGGCAGAGGCAGTTAGATCTCTGTGAGTTCGAGACTAGCCAGGGCTACAAAGAGAAAAACTGTCTTGAAAAAGCAAACAAACAAATCCAAAAGAACAAAAAAAGGTGAAAGTTTAACTAATGCATTAAATTAAGGCATTATTATTATGTTACAAAATGATTTCAAAGAATGTAGATTTTACCCCATGAAAAATTGAATAGCAGGTTTCTCTTGTATATTTTAATGAAGATGCAACTCACCAATACTTCATATTAAATTTTAGAAACACACATATATGACTCTTCTCAACTAATATATCTATATTGTAGCCAGTTCACTGAAAATACTTACGTAGTTTCCGCTGTGTGCCAGTGACATATTAGAAATGAAAAATTATAAAACATGCTGTGTTGTTTTGTTGCTGCGACAAAACGCTCTCACCAGGTAACTTGAGAAAAGAAAGAGCATTTGTACTCACAATGTTTTTCTGGGGAGGACATGTGAGGAGAGCAGTGCACGTCAGGGAGCCTGGAGGGTAAGAGTGAAGGCTGCACCCCCTCCATTTCTCTTCCCAGGCTGTCGGATGGTGCCAGCAACACACAGGGCCAGCTTTCCCTTTTCAGCTAACACTCTCTGCAAGCCCCTCACAGACATGTCCAGAGATGTGTTTACTAAGTGTACTAATCCAATCAACCTGCCGATCAAGAGTTTTTAACTTAGTTTGTAAAGTTAGAATACAAAATAATGCATTTCATCATGACATTTGTGCTAATCGAGACTGACTGACTCCTCCCATATATGTGTGAATGTATGTGTAAGTTTGTAGGGAGAGACAGAGACAGAGAGACAGAGAGAGAGACAGAGACAGAGGGACACACACAGAGAGATATGACTTATTATTATCCTAATAGTTAAAATTCAGGATGTCTTAGAAATTATTTAGCTTGACTTCCATGTAGTTCCAGAAGGAATTCAGGGCTAAAAAGTTTTCCTTGGGAAGTTAAAACAGGGGTATGGAGAGATGGCTCAGCAGCTAAGAACACTGGCTGCTCTTTCAGAGGATCTTGCTTTGATTTCTCAGAGTTCTCATGGTAGCACACAACAGCCTATAACTGCAGTCCCTGGATATCTGATGCCCTCTTCTGGCCTTCATGGGCACTGCACACACATAGTGCACATACATGAAGGCAAAACACCCATACACATACAAGTAAAATAAAATTTAAAATAGAGTTTAACAATTGAATTAGCCATTCCAGGACCTAGGCAATAGATAACAATATTTATTGATGCTTTTTAAGAACATGCTATCTGAACTCATTGTATCAAACTCAGTAAAAGATGAGAAAATGAACTAGACGTTTTCCCTATTCCTTAGGAACTGATGTTACAGGAAAGGCAATAGATGAGACTGCATATAAGTTAAGAGAATGGTGGTGCTGGTTCAAAAGATCTGTCTAAAGGTCCCATAGAGATGTAGAGATCAATGGTGCCGGGTGAATGCTTATGCTGTCTGGATAGGTCTAGCATGGATGCAGGGACCATTATCCCACATGATCTCAAACCTAATGCTGTCTTCTTAGTATATATAGCATAACAAAACTCATGAAAATGGCTTATATTCAAGAATATTAACTTATTCAAATACTTGGAGCACTTATTTGGCAACTGTGGATCTTCCTTTAATCTGACTTTCGTGATCCTTACACAGTCAGCATCAAACAGCAACCCCAGCCAGCAGCTTAGTTCTAACATTGAATGTATTCAGGTAGTTTTCCAGTCGCCCTATCTTTCCCACTTTTTCCATCCTCATTTGCTCTATACCTAACACATACCTCAGACCCCCTTTTCCCTCATGAACTAATTTGGACTTGCTTCTCTAGTTTGCACTAACCATTATCTCATGGACAAAATTATCATCTTCAGATTCTGCATTTGAA